GTGCCCCTCTCTTTTGCGTTCCTCCCTCTATTTCCGGATCTCTTTCCCAGCGCACAGCTCATTAGATCTCAATACCCCCATTATGCAGGCAGGGCCAAGGTCATTGCCCTCACTCAGCAATAAATAGCAGCTGCTGTTTATTGAACACATGTTATGTGCCAGGCACTGTATTAAGCGCTTTGTATATATATTATCACTTAATCCTTGCAACGTTCTGGGAGGGTAAGTGATATAATCCCCCACTCTCTCTTTTTTTTTTTAATAAGAGGAGGAGGAAACGGAGGCTTTGAGAAGGTCAGTGGGTGGCAGGGCTGGTCTCTGGGCTTTCAAGAAGCCTGTGCGCTATTCCTCTCTGCTGCCCAGTACAGGTGAGAAAACTGTTCTGAGGATGCTCAGTGGCTTCCCCGGGGTCATCCGGGCAGGCAAAGCAGAAGTGGGGTTGGATCTTGGCCTCTGAGAATTCACGTCAGTGTCCCTTACAGTACCCACCAGACCGCCTTCTCATCTTTGAGACTAACAAGGGGAAAGGAGTGTGTTTGTTCCCTTGCTGAGCGGCCCCTCTTGGAGTTTGAGAGGAACCGGTGGGCAGCACCCAGTTAGGCCGTCCTTGTCTTGGCTCCAGTACCACTTCGTGCTTTTGTTTTTCCTGTTGTTACATTAGTAAAAGTTCACAGATCTTAGCAGTGTGTGTGTGTGTGTGTGTGTGTGTGTGTGTGTACACATATATGTGTAGGTGTCGGTCTCCCACTCTACTTCCCACCTTATTGCTATAAAAGTTCAGTTCCTTGGACGTGTTCCATAGCGTAGCGGTCAGCCCATCTGCTTTACATGCAGAAGGTCCTGGGTTCATGTCCCAGTGGAGCCACGGTCCATGGTCTATGGCCATGCCACCCTGAACAAGCCTGATGTTTGATCTTAGAAACTAAGGAGGGTTGGGCCTGGTTAGTACTTGGATGGGGGACCACCTAGGAAGACCAGGTGCTGTAGGCATTTAAAAAAAAAAAAAAAAAAAAGTTACAC